CCCGCCGAGCCCCTCCCGGTCCCTCCCGAGCCCCTCCCGGTCCCTCCCGGCCCCGCCGCCCGCCCGGGGGCCGCCGCCGCAGCCACAGCAGCATCCGCCGCACCGGGGGCGGGGGCGGCTGCTGCCGCCGCAGCGGGGCCGCGCGGGCACCTGTGGCCGGTGGGGCGGAGCGGAGCGCGGCTCCCCCCGCCGCTGCCGCCGCCGCCCCGGCCGGCGATGCGTGCGCGGCGCCGCGCCCCGGCCAGCCCGCCCCGCCGCCGCCTCCTCCTCCTCCTCCTCTTCCTCCCCCGGGGACCATGATCGGCGTGCGCCGCGGCCCGGGCGGCAGCTGGGGACATGAGAAAGGTACCGGGGCCGCCCCGAGGAGCGGGGGGGGCTGCGGGAGGCGCCCGGGCAGGGGGTGCTGCGGGCAGCCCGGTGGCGGCGGGGAGCGGGCAGGGGCCCGGCGGAGCGGCGGCGGCTCAAGTTGCATCAGGTGGGTGGGAATGCGGGGATTTTCCTGCCACCCCACCCCTTATGCAAATGGCCGGGATGGCACCACGGGCTGATGCAAGGCGGGCACGGCGCAGCCACCGCCGCGCCGCGGGCCCGGGCGGCCCCCGCCGCCTCCCCCGGCCGCGGGCGGGCGGCCATGGGCGGCGGGCAGGGCAGCGCCGGCCATGCGGAGCCCGCAGAGCCGCTCCCGGCCGGCCCGCGGGGCTCCGGAGCCCCGGCAGCGGCGGAGGCGGAGGGGGGCCCGGCGGGTGGGCTGCGGGCCGGGCGGGGGGTCCCTGGGGAGGGGCCGCTGGGTGGGGACCCCCCCACCCCCGGCAGGCCGGGCGGCTGAAGGAAATGTGGTCTGTCTTACAGGACATCGATTTGATTGACATCCTGTGGAGACAGGATATTGATCTCGGCGCTGGGCGAGAGATTTTTGACTACAGCCACCGTCAGAAAGAGAGCGAAGTGGACAAAGAGCTGAGCGATGGGAGGGAGCGCGGGGACAGCTGGAGGAGTGCAGGGAATGAGGTCTTGGATAGAATCCCGCTAGTTGATGGAGAGACCGGGGAGAGTTTCCCTGCGCAGGTAACACCCCTGGGCCGGCCGGGCTGGGGGCTGCGCTCCCGGGGCCCTCCGGCTGTGCCGGTGCCTGTGCGGGGGCTGTTCCAGCAGCAGCAGCAGCAGCAGCAGCAGCAGCAGGGTTTGCCCAGGTGGGCAGCAGGATTTGGGCAGGGCCAGCCGTGTCCCCGTGGCAGCCGCAGAGTCCCCCTGGCCTGCGTGGCCGGAGGGGACAGGAGGGGACAGGAGGGGACAGGAGGCTGGCCGGGAGCGGCGGCGTTGGCGCTTTCCCGTCGCCCGGAGCGGGAGGATGGAGCCAGCGAAGGAGCACTGGGTGGGGCTCTGGCTCTTTTTTGGATGCGCTGTGCTCGAGCCCTGCTGGAAGGGAGCTGATTCCTCAGCAGCACCTCCCAAAGCCCGCGGCTCCCGTTCCCATCCCGTGCCTTTCCTGTCCCCGCAGGTGCCCGGTGCGGAGGATCAGACAGCGCTGTCCCTGGAGGAGTGCCTTAGGCTGCTGGAGGCCACCTTCCCTTTCGGGGACAATTCCGAGGTGAGCCCCAGGGGTGCATCCCGAGGCTCCCCCTGCCTCTCTCGCCGGCGTTTCGGTGCCTCCCGCGCTTCTCCCGCGGCAGCAAATCGGGTTTGGCTGCTCCGGGAGGCTCCAGGCATCCTGCGAAACCGCCCGGGGAGGGGCGGCTGCGATTAATTAAATCCTCCCGGCTCCGCTCCTCGTTAGTTCTCGGCAAAGCGGGTGGGAAGGGCGCTGGGCTGGGGGGTGGCTGCATCCCTGAGAATCCTCGAGCGTTCCTGAGCATCCGTGAACATCCCTGAACGTCCCTGTGCATCTCTGAGTGTCCATTCCTGAGCATCCCTCAGCATCCCTCAGCATCCCTGAGAATCCCTGTGCATCTCTGAGTGTCCATCCCTGAGTGTCCCCAAGTGTCCCTGAGCATCCCTGAATGTTCCTGAGCATCCCTGAGAATCCTTGAGAATCCCTGAGCATCCCAGAACATCCCTGAGCCTCCCCAGTGAATCCCTAAGTGTCCCTGAGCATCCCTGAATGTTCCTGAGCATCCCTGAGAATCCCTGAGCGTCCATCCCTGAGCATCCCAGAACATCCCAGAACATCCCTGAGCCTCCCCAGTGAATCCCAGCGCGTTCCCGAGCTGCCAGCCCTGATTCCCTGGCGTGCTCAGTTCCCAGCTGCGGATGTCTCCGCCCTGAGCGAGGCCGTGCCGGGGCAGAGCCGGGCTCCGGGCGGCCCCCCCAGCCTGCTGTCCCCTCTCCTGGCCGAGACCGAGTCCCCCTTCGACCTGGAGCAGCAGTGGCAGGACCTGATGTCCATCATGGAGATGCAGGTGAGCTCCGGGAGGGGCGGGAAGGGCTCGGTGCCGCCGGGCGGCTCCCGGCGCTCTCCCGGCGAGCCGTGCCCGCGTCTCTTGCAGGCCATGGAGGTGAACGGCACCGGCGCCGAGAGCCTGTACGGCGGCACCGGCGGCGACCTGCTGGCGTCCAACTACAGCCTGGCCCCCGGCACGCCCATCAACCAGAACGTCAGCCTGCATCAGGCCTCGCTGGGGGGCTGCTCCCAGGACTTCTCCCTCTTCAGCTCGGACATGGAGAGCCCCTCCATGGCGGGCGGCTCGGCCCTGCTGCAGCTGGCGCCCGACAACTCCACCGGCCTCAACAGCACCTTCGGCTCCACCAACCTGAGCGGGATCTTCTTCCCGCCCCAGATGAACGGCACGGGCAACGAGACGGCCGGGCCCGAGCTGCCCGACCCCCTGGGAGGGCTCCTGGACGAGGCCATGCTGGATGAGATCAGCCTGATGGACTTGGCCATCGAGGAGGGCTTCAACCCCGTGCAGGCCTCGCAGCTGGAAGAGGAGTTCGATTCCGACTCAGGTCTTTCCCTGGATTCCGGCCACAGCCCCGCGTCCCTGAGCAGCTCCGAAGCCTCGTCCTCGTCGTCCTCGTCCTCTTCGTCCTCTTCCTCCTCCTCGTTTTCCGAGGAAGGCGCCGTGGGCTACAGCTCGGACTCGGAGAACGTGGACTTTGAGGAAGCGGAAGGGGCGGTTGGCTACCAGCCAGAGTACAGCAAGTTCTGCCGCATGAGCTACCAGGACCCGGCGCAGCTCCATTACCTGCCTTACCTGGAGCACGTCGGCCACAACCACACCTACAACATGGCCCCGGCCGCCCTGGACCCCGAGGAGCCCAAAGCGCCCGGCGCCGGCAAGAAGAGCGGCAAGGAGAAACCCTCGGAGCTGCTGGACAAGCAGCTGAGCCGCGACGAGCACCGCGCCAGGGCCATGAAGATCCCCTTCACCAACGACAAGATCATCAACCTGCCCGTGGAGGAGTTCAACGAGCTCCTGTCCAAGTACCAGCTGAGCGAGGCGCAGCTCAGCCTCATCCGCGACATCCGCCGGCGCGGCAAGAACAAGATGGCAGCGCAGAACTGCCGCAAGAGGAAGCTGGACACCATCCTCAACCTGGAGCGCGACGTGGAGGAGCTGCAACGCGACAAATCCAAACTGCTCAGGGAGAAGGTGGAATTCCTCAAGTCCATCCGGCAGATGAAGCAGAAGGTGCAGAGCCTGTACCAGGAGGTGTTCGGGCGGCTGCGGGACGAGCAGGGCCGGCCCTACTCGCCGAGCCGCTACGCGCTGCAGTACGGCAGCGACGGCAGCGTGCTGCTGATCCCCCGCGCGCCCGCGCCCGCCGAGCCGCAGCCGCGGCGCCAGGAGCGCAAGCAGAAGGACAGGAGGAAGTGAAGGCGGCGGCGGAAGGGAGAGCTGGGATGAGGGCCGAGCCTGGAAGCGCTTGCGGAGGGAACTTTGATGCCTTCTTATCCGATTCTGTCTTCTCGAAGCGGCGCCGCCGCCGCCGTCGCCGGGGACTCTGCGGGAGCGGCCGTCCCGAAATAAAAAAGGGGGGGACACGGAGCCTTCGCCCCCCTCCGAGCCCAGCTGCCACCGCCCAGCCCCGAGGTGCTGGGAGAGCAGGGACGAGCTGGCATCGCTGCTGGGGAGGTTGGCACGAGGTGGATAAAACAAAAACAAAACACAAAAAAAAAAAAAATAACAAACTACTGTTAGGAACTGGCTTTAAATAAGAGAAAAAAAACAAAAAAACCCCACAAAAAAAAAAAATTCCCGAGAAAACAACAACAAAAAAAAGAGATTTAAGCGAAGGGACTTCAAGTTATAGGAGAGACGTTTTTCTGAACTTCCAAAGTTCTGTGATTTCAGGTAGTTGGTTGTTTTTATTTTATTTTTTTCCTTTTTTTTTTTTCCTGGTTCTTTTTTGGTTTTGTTTTTCTCTTTTTTTTTTTCCCTTTTTATTATTTTTTTACTTTTGTTTGGTTTTTTTTTTTCCTTTTATCCCGACCCCTTTTTTGGCGCCGGCGAGAGATTCTGGATTTCTCCTTCCTCGAGCACCCGAGATCGCAGCAGGGCACACGTGGAGAGACACAAAAAAAAAAGTGGAAAGACACAAAAAAAAAGTGGAAAGACACAAAAAAAAAGTGGAAAGACACCAAAAAAAAATGGAAAGACACAAAAAAAAGTGGAAAGACACCAAAAAAAGCGACTTTCATTAACCCCTTCCCGCCCGAGGAAACTCAAACCTCGGAGGGGGAGGAAAAAAAAAAAAAAACCAATGACAAAACCATCCCGGAAAGGAAAATTAAAAAAATTTAAAAAAATTAAAAAAGAAAGGACAACGAGCAGGGAAATCCACGGAGCTTTGGGAAGAGCGGGATTCTCAAGGATCCCTTGCCCATCCTGTGCTTCTCCTGGGAATTCGGGGAGGAATTTGGGGTCGGGAAGGGCGGCGACCTCGCGGCGTCACCTCGAGCGTCCCCATCCCGTAACCGCGCTCGGGTTTTTTCATGGGGGGGGGAAAAAAGCGGTTCCAACCTCGATTTTATATTTTTTTTGCCCTTCACCCCCTTTTAGGGTCTAGAAGTGCTTGTGTTAAGTAAAAAAAAAACCCCAAAACCCCCAAAAAACCTAAAAAAACCCCTAAAAAACCTAAAAAAAAACCCCCAAACCCCTAAAAAACTTAAAAAAAACCCTAAAAAAATCTAAAAAAAAAAAAACCTTTAAAAAGAAAAACACCAAAAAAAAAATAGAAAAAGGGAGAAGCCCAAAGGTTGAAAGCTGCTCAATGTTCTCTTTGCCATAAAGATTCCGTGTAACCGTGTGATCGCATTATAGGATTCTCTTCTGTCCCCTGAGGTGTTGGTCTGAATTCCTGTTTTTGTTTTTTTATTCTTCAGGAGGGGGGTGGGGGTAGTGCCTTGATCACTGTTCAGGTCTCCACACCTCGGAGATCATCCTAGAGCTGGATTTCCATATAGCACAGCTGGGAGCGTTCTGACTTTACCAGCAACCGGAAAAAAAAAAAAAAAGGAAAAAAAAAAAAAAAAATT